AGAGGACACAGGTGGGGACACTGTGGGGACACGGCAGGGGACAATGAGAAGGCACAGTTGGGGACAATTGGAGGGCACAGCTGGGGACAATGAGAGGACACAGCTGGGGACAATGAGAGGGCACAGCTGGGGACAATGGGACCGTCATGTGCCCTTTTGCTGCTGCCCCCCGTGTTTGATCCCTCCCAACATGAGGGATTCCCCTCCCCACCCTGCACCCCACAAGGGGGACACCCCTGGGACCCCGTGTCCCTGTCCCCAGAATCCAGGAAGGGCAAGAGCACACTCAGAGGCGGTGACACAGCCTTTACTTTGTAGACAGAAGCAAACCCCGAAGCAAATCCCACTTTTTTTATGGCTGGAGCATGCGGTGCCAAGTGACAATGGGCGGGGTGGCTGTCCCCAGGGTGGGGACGAGGAGCAGACATTCCAGCCTGGAAGGGGACAGTGGGGGACAGTGCCACCCCCATGTCGCTGTCCCATCCCGCTATGCCCAGAACACGGGGACGGCGCTGCAGAGGATGTTGATGGTGGTGCCCAGGATGGAGCGGTCAGCCAGGGGCACGGCCTTGTCCCCAACCTTGTCCTCGTCCTGCAGGACACAGAACGGAGCAGAGCAGCCACAGAGGGACAAACAAACCCCCAGCCCCACATTGCCCAGCCTGGTGCGGCTCCACCCCTGTGGTTGTGAGACAGAGGAGAAATTCTCCAGAGTAGAAATTGTCCAGAGTAGAAATCCATTTTGATTTAGGTGAAATGTACATCTTTGAGTCTGTGGTTAGAAAACAGAGCTAAGCAGCCTGCCTGCAAAGCCTAGGCTCAGGGAAACTGCTCCAGTGAAAGACAGAGATAAGGGGGAGGAGACAAAAAGTGATAAAGAGAGACAGAGACTGCTGTGAGAGAAGGTCAACATGACCTGGGAATTCGTTCTGATAAAGAAGAACTAGTGGCAAATGTCATGGGGAATTCATAAAAATGATTTTGTATGAACTTATTGTGAAATTGTGTGCCTATGTATTTGAGAGGGGGATAAAAAGGGACCTGAAGTTCCCAGGAGTATGCATGTCTTTTAAGGAGAGTAATCTCCACATGCTGTAATAAACATACTGGCTTTACAACTTTCACAAAGTTGTGGAGTTTTTGGTTGTCTCCATGAACAGTTGTCACTGCTCACCTGCCGGCGCTGGAAGGTCTCGGTGACAGCGTCCAGCCCCGGGAAGTTGTCCTTGTCCACACGGGTGATGTAGCAGGCAGGGTGACGCCAGGACCTGTAGCCGACCAGCAGCTGTGGGCAGACAGAGCTGGCTCAGCTCACACGGTGCTGTGGTGCCATGCATGTCCCCATGTCCCCATGTCCCCATGTCCCTGTGTCCCCATGTCCCAGTGTCCCTATATCCCTGTGTCCCCATGTCCCTGTATCCCCATGCACTCATGTCCCCACGTCCCCATATCCCTATGTCTCCACGTCCCAGTGTCCCCATGTCCCCGTGTCCCCATGTCCCTGTGTCCCTGTGTCCCCATGTCCCCGTGTCCCCATGTCCCCATGTCTCTATGTCCCTATGTCCCCATGTCCCCTTGTCCCCATGTCCCTGTGTCCCCGTGTCCCCATGTCCCCATGTCTCTATGTCCCTATGTTCCCGTGTCCCCATGTCCTCATGTCCCCATGTCCCCACATCCCCACATCCCCATGTCCCCGTGTCCCTATGTCCCCATGTCCCCATATCCCCGTGTCCCCATGTCCCCATGTCCCCACATCCCTATGTCTCCACGTCCCAGTGTCCCCATGTCCCCGTGTCCCCATGTCCCCATGTCCCTATGTCCTCATGTCCCCAAGTCCCTGTGTCCCCATGTCCCCACGCCCCTATGTCTCTATGTCCCCATGTCCTCATGTCCCCACGTCCCCACATCCCCACATCCCCATGTACCCATGCACCCATGCCCCTATGTCCCCATGTCCCTGTGTCCCCATGTCCCCATGTCCCCGTGTCCCCATGTCTCCACATCCCTATGTCCCCATGTCCCTATGTCCCCATGTCCCCGTGTCCCCATGCACACACGTCCCTATGTCCCAACCCCCATGTTCCCATGTCCCCATGTCCCCATGCCCCCGTGTCCCCATGCACACATGTCCCTATGTCCCAACCCCCNTGTCCCCCTCAGGTGGCATGGGGACACTGCTGAGCTTTGGTTTTGCCCATCCATGAGCTCCTCCTGCAACTGGGACCCCTCCAGCCCCCCCTGAGACCCCCAATACTGAACGTTGCCTCTTTTCCCAGGGTGTCAAGGGCCACGAGAGTCCCTTGAGTGGCTCCTGGCTGTTTGTTCTGTCCCCATGGGAGCCCTTATCAGCTTTCCTGGCCCATGGCACCCCCTTGACCCAGCTCCTTATCACAGTCAGGGTTTTTTGGGAAGCAGAGCTGCTGGCTCTGGGTCAGCACATGGAAACCTGCAGCGTCCCTCCTGTTCCCAGCAAAGTGTCACCCCCCCGGGGCAATGACCCTGCTCTCTGCCCGTGGCAGTGATTTTGGGGACAACAGTGAGTTTGCAGCTCTGGAAAGATCAAATCAACTTCCAGGGGTCTCTTTTTCCCCCTCCCAGCCTCACTGCTCCTCTGGGTTTCAGTGCTGCACTTGGGAGTGGCCCCAAAGCTGATGGAGGGGCAAGAGGGGCTGGAATGGTTGGGGAAAGGGAGAGGATGAGGAGGGGCTGCAGCTGGAGCAAGTGGATTGTGGTGTCTGTGGGCGACGCTTGATTCCCACTGGGGATGTGGCACTGTCCCTCTGTCCCCAGCTGCACCAGGAGGGGACAGGGTTGGGAGCTGTTCCTGAAGGGCTGGAAGTGCAGGGGCTGCTCCTTTGTCCTCGCCCTCCATGCTCCAAACTGGGAGGGCACAGCTGGGGACAATGGGGGGATACAGGTGGGGACAATGGGAGGGCACAGTTGGGGACAATGGGGGGACACTGAGAGGCAGAGGTGGGGACACTGGGGAACACAGTTTGAGACAATGAGAGGACACAGGTGGGGACAATGGGAGGGCACAGTTGGGGGGCAATGGGAGGGCACAGGTGGGGACAATGAGAGGACACAGGTGGGGACAGTGGGAGGGCACAGTTGGGAACAATGAGAGGACACAGGTAGGGACAATGGGAGGACACAGGTGGGGACAATGAGAGGACACACGTGGGGACACTGGGGGAACACAATTGGGGACAATGAAAGGACGCAGTTGGGGACAGTGAGAGGACGCATTTGGGGACAATGGGAGGGCACAGTAGGGGACAATGAGAGGGCACAGCTGGGGACAATGGGGGAACACAGGTGGGGACACTGGGGGGACACGGGGTCAATGGGAGGGCATAGGTGGGGACAATGGGAGGGCACGCCTGGGGACAATGGGAGGGCAATGGGTGGGAACAATAAGAGGACACCGGTGGGGACACTGGGGAGACACAGCTGGGGACAATGGGAGGGCACAGCTGGGGACACTGGGGGGACACAGCTGGGGACAATGGGAAGGCACAGCTGGGGACAATGGGGGAACACAGGTGGGGACACTAGGGGGACACAGATGGGGTCAATGGGGGAACACAGGTGGGGAGAATGGGAGGGCACAGCTGGGGACAATGAGAGAACCCAGGTGGGGACACTGGGAGGGCAGAGGTGGGGAGAATGAGAGGACACAGGTGGGGACACTGTGGGGACACGGCAGGGGACAATGAGAAGGCACAGTTGGGGACAATTGGAGGGCACAGCTGGGGACTATGAGAGGACACAGCTGGGGACAATGAGAGGGCACAGCTGGGGACAAT